AAGACTCAAAAAGTAATAGCAAAAATATGCGTAAGTGCATCAGAAGCAGGAAGCTGCTAAGCAACCAAAGGGGCCACTGGCTGACTGAGGTGCTAAAGCAGCACTCAAGGACGATAAGGCCATTGCGGAGAAACGAAATGAATTCTTTGCATCGGCCTTCATGGCTGAGGATGTGAGGGAAATTCCCAAATCTGACCCATTCTTTTTAGGTGACAAATCTGAGGAACTGTCCTAAATTGAGGTGTCATTAGAGGAGGTTTTGGAACAAACTGATGAACTAAACAGTAATAAGTTACCAGAGCTAGATGGTATCATCCAAGAGTTCTGAATAAACTTGAATGTGAAACTACAGAGCTACTAATTGTAGTTTGTAACCTATCATTTAAATCAGCTTCTGTACCAAATGCCTGGAGCATAGCTAATGTGACACCAATTTTTAAAAAGGGCTCCAGAGGTGATCCTGGCAATTACAGGCCGGTAAGCCTGACTTCAGTACCGGGCAAACTGGTTGAAACTATAGTAAAGGACAAAATTATCAGACAGATGGATGAACATAATTTGTTGGGGTAGAGTCAACATGGTTTTTGTAAAGGGAAATCATGCCTCACCAATCTGCTAGAATTCTTTGAGGGGGTCAACAAGCATGTGGACAAGGGGGATCCAGTGGACATAGTGTACTTAGACTTTCAAAAAGCCTTTGACAAGGTCCCTCACCAAAGGCTCTTAAGCAAAGTAAGCTGTCACGGGATAAGAGGGAAGGTCCTCTCATGGATTCCTAACTGGTTAAAAGATAGAAAAGAAAGGGTAGAAATAAACGGATGATACAGAATGGAAAGAGGTAAATAGTGGTGTTCCCCAGGGGTCTGTACTGGGCCCAGTCCTATTCAACATATTCATAAATGATCTGGAAAAAGGGGTAAACAGTGAGGTGGCAAAATTTGCAGATGATACAAAACTACTCAAGATAGTTAAGTCCTAGGCAGACTGCGAAGAGCTACAAAAGGATCTCACAAAACTGGGTGACTGAGCAACAAAATGGCAGATGAAATTCAATGTTGATAAATATAAAGTAATGCACATTGGAAAACATAATCCCAACTATACATATAAAATGATGGGGTCTAAATTAGCTGTTACCACTCAAGAAAGAGATCTTGGGACTGGGAGTCATTGTGGAGAGTTCTCTGAAAACATCCACTCAATGTGCAGCAGTCGTCAAAAAAGGGAACAGAATGTTGGGAATCATTAAGAAAGGGACAGATAATAAGACAGAAAATATCATATTGCCTCTATATCAATCCATGGTTCGCCCACAGCTTGAATACTGCGTGCGGATGTGGTCGGCCCATCTCTAAAAAGATCTATTGGACTTGGAAAACGTTCAAAAAAGGGCAACAAAAATGATTAGGGTTATGGAATGGCTGCCGTATGAGGAGAGATTAATAAGACTGGGACTTTTCAGTTTGGAAAAGAGACGACTAAGGTGGGATATGATAGAGATCTATAAAATCATGACGGATGTGGAGAAAGTAAATACGTATTATTTACTCCTTCTCATAACACAAGAACTAGGGGTCACCAAATAAAATGAATAGGCAGCAGATTTAAAACAAACAAAAGGAAGTATTTTTTCACAGAACGTACAGTCAACCTGTGCAACTCTTTGCCAGAGGATGATGTGAAGGCCAAGACTACTACAGTGTTCAAAAAAGAACTAGATAAGTTCATGGAGGATAGGTCCATCAATGGCTATTAGCCAGGATGAGGGGGATGGTGTCCCTAGCCTCTGTTTGCCAGAAGCTGGGAATGGGCAACAGGGGATGGATCACTCGATGATTCCCTGTTCTGTTCATTCCCTCTGGGGCACCTGGCATTGGCCACTGTCAGCAGACAGGATACTGGGCTAGATGGACCTTTGACCTGACCCAGTCTGGCCATTCTTATGAGTACTTATTTTTGTTAAACACTAACACTTTACGCGATGGTTGTGTGCTGCGGCTCTGAGAATGAAGCAGTTCCGCAGTGTACAACCCAGAACACACACACACGGTGGAGGTCGGAAAAATCAAGCAATGTTAATATAGCACTATGATTGGCTCACAAAGAGATGCTGCCTGCCTGTCCGTTTAGTGCGGTGCTGAATTTAAACAATCAATCCTCCACAGGTAAAGATAAGGTAAAAAGGCAAACATGGAGCAAAAACCACAAATCTATGCCCGAATACCAACAGGAAAGCAGTGCTTAGAACTTTCCAAGGAAAGTAAAGACAGGCGCAAAGAGGATGCATTGTGCTGCAAATATTGCAGCACTGAGGTCAGTGGTCATGCTGACAGGATAAAGGAGCATGTCAAAGTCAAAAGCAAGCAACACAAGAAGCTTAAAGAAGAAAGCGAGCTTCAGGACAAACAGTAAATATCAGGGGCTTTCACCAGGGCTTTAACAAAAGGGAGGACACAGCACGATTGTGTCAATGAATCTGTACGTGCTCTTTGTTTCACCCAACGACCGCTGTTAATTGCAGAGGAGCCTATTGATGACTTTATACGACAATCCTGTCCAGCTACAAAACCCTTCCTAACGCAGACAACCTCACTCGTAAGTATCTGAAAGAAAACGGCAACGCGGTAGCACCTAAACCGATGGAACGACTTGATGGAAATGTGCTGCCTAGTCTGATTTTTGACAAGTCTCCTTGATGCTTTGGACCATCCGATTCTTTGGCTTTTTGTTTTCAGGTTTTGATTTCAAAGCGAATAAACCCGCATTGTTTTGTGCCGATGTGACATTCATCCCCTCTGCTGACAGCCGTTTTGTCGATGCAGCAATAACTGGCATGTTTGAGATGCACCAACTAACTTGGGAAAATGTGGCCACAACTAACGCAGATCCTGCTTCCTGCATAGCTAAGCTGGCACAGAGATTAAACTCCATCAGAAACCAGAGCTGCTATGTATTACCTGTCTTCTCATCTGATTAACATTGCGCCGTCAGCAGCAACTGCTACGGAGGAAATGAAAGACGTGAAATCTTGCATCTCTGGATTTGGGGCCGTTTTCAAGCATGCGAACAGGCTGAAGGCTGTGTTTTACACAGTGTGAGACGAGCGCAAAGCCGACTGCTGTTTACCCACCATGGTTGGGCCACATCAGTAGATGAGCTTGTACTTCACTGCCTGCTGTGTAAATCATGTGTAGAGTGTGCCACTACATCTCCTAGATCAGCCCAAGTTTGTTGGTTCTAAAGAAAAACTCTGAAGAGACGGGCAGATAACCAGGGTGACTGTGAGATTCTGCGCACCAGGGTAATGGTCGCTGTTGAAAACTTGCAATCACTGTGCGACACACAGAAAACACCGGAGTTTTCTCTGACTACTGCCAACACGTTTGCCAATACAGACGTTTACCGGATCATGCTAACCAAAGTCTCAATTGAATTAAGCACAAAAGCTGAAGGAGAAAGATACAGCGAGAAAACACAGCTGTTTCTAGAAATCCTTCTGACCCCGGAACATGAGAAAACAAAAAATTATTTAAAACCTTCGACACAACACCCAGGGAGAAATGGGAGATGACCGTGGCCCGTAATCTGAACCTCAAAGTGTTTGGTGCCAAAGGTTCTTTTTGCAATGTCATTCAGGTGTTGCACCCCCTTCCTCCAGGTGAATTTTACAGCAGACTATGATTGTTATGCCAGATTTCAGAGGAACAGCCGTGTTAGTCTGTATTCGCAAAAAGAAAAGGAGTACTTGTGGCACCTTAGAGACTAATCAATTTATTTGAGCATGAGCTTTCGTGAGCTACAGCTCACTTCATCAGATGTATACCGTGGAAACTGCAAGTTTCCACGGTATACATCTGATGAAGTGAGCTGTAGCTCACGAAAGCTCATGCTCAAATAAATTGGTTAGTCTCTAAGGTGCCACAAGTACTCCTTTTCTTGTTATGCCAGAGTGTTTCAACCATTTACCACTAAAGAGGAAATTTTAAATCTGAAAGGGGAATTTACTACTCACATGAACTTGCCCACCCCTGACAACCCAAAACTGGATGTGCTGGCTTTGTGGAACAGTCATCCAGACACACTTCCCAAAGTCACCAAAGTGGCATGGAGGGAGTGCACCCCCTGGTTCTACCGATGCAGAGTGCTTATTTTCAAAGTGGGACTACCTCCAAGACAGCAAGAGGCTCAACATGAGTGAGGAGACTTTTGAAGACCATTACCTGAGCGTACACAAACCAGGATTTCTGGACAAGCTACTAGGTCTGAGAGACAAAATACACCTTTAAACATTTTAAAAAAAAAAATCTTAAATTATAGTCGTAAAATGTGGATATTATAAAAGTCCCCCCCGATTTTTTTATTTGTAACCCAATTTCATCCCAGTTTTAATGTTTGGAAAATAAATACTGAAAAGTTCCCAGATATTTGTAAAAAAATAAAATAAAAATAAAAACTGAAAACACGGAACACTAACTGTACCACACCCAATGAAAACCCCAGTGGAAACTTCAGGTAGGTGGAACGTAATTATTTGTGTTGGAATTTGGCAAGGAAACTGCAGCCAACACCCAAAATTTGCCACGTGATCCAGGGTGACAAGGGTAAAGACCTTATCTTTAAGTATCATTCAAGACATGAGCCCTCTTGCTACACAGCAGCCCCGAGATCCATGATGGGGCTCTGAGCCAGTGCTGACGCAGAGGGAACAACGCTGCCCCCTACTGAATCACCCACAGCACTCCCTGGAGCACCAAGGCTGTACTGCCAAGCTCTGATCCCATTCCAAACCCACTGAGCTCGAAGGATCAGGTGAGACTGCAGCCTGAGGTCACAGGCCAGACTGCAATTGAAAATGCTACTGCCCAATATAGCGCGAGTCCCTTTGTGGAAGGAAGGGGCTTCTCAGGCTCTCATCTGAGACACTGTGCAGAGGGTAGCTCCCTGCTGCGTAATGACAGCCAGCCTGTCCACTTCCCCCATCCCCACATGCTCCCACTTACTTTATTGAACCTGGCGAAGGGGTAATCCTTTCCCTCCTCTGCGGCCCTCCTCCAGTGGTAGAACATGGCCCCGTCTTTCCTCGCGGGGTTGGTGAAAGGCATCCACTTCCAGGGCCGCACTTTCTTGGAGCCCAGCTTCGCCTTGACTGTGCGGTAGCCCTGCGTCGTGTCGCTGGGCAGCAGAGGAGGCGCATCCCTGCAGAGGAGAGAAGGCCCAGCTGAGAGAAGCGGCAGTCCGCACTGCACTCCTCTGGAGAGTCTTTGCCATGGATCCTGGCAACGCGGTAGGTAGTGCAGGAGACCTGGGTTCAAGCCCCATTCCTGGTTTTGCACCCCCCAGAACGCAGACACCACATAGCTCCGGGGTGACATTCTGGCTTTGGGTCACGCAACAGCATCCACCCCACAATCGCCCTGAATCAACTCAAGCTCACCACTGAGAGCTCCAAAGGGGAGTCAAAGCAACCATGGTATAAAGAGTGATGAGGGTGCAGAGCCTGCTAGCAAGGTGAGATTCATTGTGTGTCAATGGAAAGTCACATGCCTGGACCTGGAGATGGAACAAACAGCATGAAGGCGTTTGAAAGGAAGAGCTGTCTGGAAAGCAGACAGTGCTAGAGACCTCTGGGCCGATAGCACAGTCCATAGCAAATGCCATATTTGGGGTTAGGAAGGAATTTTCCCCCTGGTCACACTGGAAGAAACCCTGAGGGGGTTTCGCCTTCCTCTGCAGCATGGGGCATGGGTCACTTACAGGTTTAAACGAGTGTAAATGGGGGATTCTCCATAAACTTGAAGTCTTTAGATCATGAATTGAGGATGTCAGTAACTTAGCCAAAAGTTAAGGGTCTGTTACAGGGTGAGGTTCTGTGCAGTGAGCAATGTGCAGGAGGTCAGGCTAGATCATGATGGTCCCTTCTGATCTTAAAGTCTATGAGGTTGCAGCATAACACTTGCGGAAACAAAAGCTGGTGTTGCTCCCGGTGGCACACACAGGGGAATTAGATACAAAAGGGCATATATGCTGCCCCAGGTGATGTAGCTCTGGAGTGACTGCACTTTTCTCATCACATGCACAGAGCAGAGCCTCCCCATTCTGGAATGAGAAAGAAAATATAAACAAGAGAAACAAAAATGATAAAAAGCCTGGAGGAGATGAGACTGAAGGTGCTAAATTTTAGGGGCTGGATTGTCAAAGATTCCAAGTGTGACTAGGCCAGGCACTGACAGACTGGAGCCATTGGTGGGTGCCAGTTCTCCCATGAAACTGTGCAGAACACTAACCAGAGACACTTACTTTTTATCGGAGTAGAGAAGCGCATAAACCTCTCGGTGCATCCCCTCCGGCCTCTTAAATGTCAGCGTCTCAGATGATTTCTTGGATTTTTTCTGAAACAGAAGATTTTGGTTATAGATTGAGAGTTTAAGGCAGAAGAGACCATTAGATCACACAGACTGACTTCTTCTATATATCACCGGCTATTATATTTCACCCAGTTATCCCTGTATGGAGCCCAATAACTTGTGTTTGGCTTTCAGAAAGGTATCCCGTCTTGATCTGAAAGCATCAGGAGATGGGAAATCCACCACTTCCCTTGGTAGTTTGTTCCAGTGGTTTAATCACGCTCACTGTTAAAAACGTGTGCCTTACTTCTCACTGACTTTGTCTGGCTTCCACTTCCAGCCATTGGTCCTTGTTCTGCCTTTCTCTGCTAGATTAAAGAGCCTTTTACTATCCGGAATTTTCTCCCCAGGAAGGTGCTTATACACTGTAATCATGTCACCTCTCAGTCTTCTTCTTCATAAACTAAACAGACTGAACTCTTAAAGTCTCTCACAGTAAGGCATTTTCTCCAGCCCTCAAATAATTTTTGTTGCTTTTTTCTGCACCCTCTCCAGTTTTTCAACATCTTTTTCAAAATGTGGACACTAGAACTGGATCCAGTATTCCCGTATCGATCTCACCACTGCCATCTACAGAGATAAAGTCACCTCCCTACTCCTCCAGCTAGCACTTTTTGAATATTGGGACATTAGAGCTCTTCTACTCTTCTGGCGTTATCCCAGTATTCCAAGAGTTATAAAAATGAACATGAGTGAGCGAGAGATCTCCTCAAGACAACTCTTTTAGGACTCTTGGTTGCAAAATATCCAGGCGTCTTGATTTTTAAGTATATATTTCTAGGAGATATTGTTTAACACCCTCCTTAGTTACTAAGGTACTGGAAACTACTTCATTGTCATGCATCTTTCCAAACACAGAACAGAAATATTTATTGGACACGTCTACCTTTTCTGCATCATTAACAGTTTTACATCTCCACCTAGTAATGGGCCTATACCATTCTTGGAATTTCTTTTGTTACTAATATACTTTAAAAAGTCTTTATTTTCCTTAGCCCTGCCAGCTGTGGAGTGTTGCTTCCCCACGACTGCTGCCTTCACTCTGTCATGGAGCTAGGACGGGATTTTAATCAGTTGTCCTCTTTCTTGATTGTGGCTTTTTGGCCATCTAATATACTTCTTTTAAAACTCCCAATTTTCATTTAAATTTTTCTGTCTACATATTTCCTCTGAATCAATTTTTCTCATATTTTTCCTCAGCTTTGGGAAATTAACCCTTTGGAAGCACCAAGTGTACACATTACTGGTTGGTGCTGTCCTCTCTTTGCTCATATTGAATGTAATCATGTCATGATCACTGGTCCCTAGGCAAACACCAACTTCCATCTTTATTCATCTTTGTCTGTCACAATGATGTCTAACAGAGTCACCTCAAGTTACTTTTGCATCAGAAAATGATCATCTAGAATTTTTGGAAAAACTAGTGGTGTTTTACTACTGGCTGCATAAGAACTCTAAAGCGTGTCTCCCAAACTGAAGTCCCCCATAACACTATTTATCTTTCCACACATTACAGACGGGCGTTTAAGGAGTAACTCATCCTGGTCTCTGGTTTCCACTGGTCCACAGATCCACACCAATACACTGTCCCTGGCTTTGTTAGTTAGCACAGTGATCCTTATGCATTCAAGATCCTGTGGGTCTGAGTTATCAATAACTTTCAAACCAGTAATGGCGTCTTTAAGGCAGAGTGCCACCCCACAACTCTTTTATCCACTCTGTCCTTCATGCACAGGTCATAGCTAGTGATTTTAACACTCCAATCATGCACAGTCTCTCACCAGTTTTCAGTACTACCAGTTATACTAGTCTTTGCACTGATGACAAGGCAGCCCCAGGGAGCTGCACTTCTGTGTGGAGACAGACATTTCAATGGAGAGGAAACGGTGGCTGGGGAGTGCTTTGAGTGTGATGGCATTCTATTATTATATAGTTTCATCTCAAATTGCGCAGTCTGGGACCTATGCTACAGTCTTGGCTCTCTTGGATCTGGAGTTCCTGTCCATCTCTCAGGTTTATATTGTCCCATCCCCATAGCATCTAAGCACAACAATGCCCCTGTGAAGTATGGAAGAAATATTATACTCATTTAACAGGTGGAAAACTGGGGTACAGCGCAAATACAGATAAGGCCTAAATGACTTGCCCGAGGTCACACACAGATCCTGTGGTCAAGACAGAGACATAGTTCGGGGTCTCCCAAGTCCCATTTTCAACGCCTTAACCTCAAAGCCATCCCTTCTTGAGTTTGCCAGACATTTGGCATTTGACTGTTTAGATTTCTGACAAAATGTTTGGATTCTGTGAACACAACCCTCCAGAAAACAAGGAGATGGGTAACTGAAGATACAGGGAAGCCAGGAAATGGACGTACGTGTAAGATGCCATATACTCCATGGAAATGCCCCAAGTCAACAACTATAATAGTAAGAAATATTTGTTTTCCTCCAGTCTCTTTCAGCTATAGTCATTTGAGATGACACTTGTGAGAACAGTAGGTAAAAAGTTTTCAGACACAAGTGTGATTTTCAAGTTGGTGTCTAGGGCAAAGATTTCAGGCCCATAACCCGGTACCTTATCAGAATTGATGATGTCCTTCTTATTGATGGTTCCCGTGTTCTCTGACTCCACACCCCCCAGCTCCAGAATATCCCGCACATCTGCGCCCGTCGCCATCTTGCTCTCTGGGGGCAGAAACACAGCTGTCAAAACAAGAGCCCTATGAACAGGCATCCACAGGGCATACATGCAGATTGTCCTCTGAAAAATGAACCACTTTGCTCATCCCTCTCCAGTGTCCAGCAGCCCTTGCCCGTCCTCCCCACAGGGCAAACAGACCAAGTCATTCATCCTCGTTCAGCAGACATTTTATTTGATTCTAAAATGGACTTTGTTCTTCAAATGCTTAGCAATAGAAAATGAGGGGTACCAGTGAGGGGTACCTGTTCCTGGAAGAGAACAGAGACATCACCATACTGGCTCACACCAAGGTATTTCTAGCCCAATAACCTGTCTCTAAAAATGGCCAGCACTAGATGCTTCAGATATCTTTAAAATGGCCAAATTATTTTGACACGGAGGACAGAGGTCAAGTCTAAAACTACTGACAAGCTGAGGGAAAAAATGACTTTTCCAACATAAAATAATGCAAAATTTACCAAATATTTTCAACTTTATATGTACTGCACCAACAGAGATGCAGCCACCTCTGGGGTGGCACCCACTGTCACACAATGAAGAAGGGGACATTTCTAGCCAAATGCTCTCTCGCTATCATGACAGTGACCCCACTGGATCTTTAGTGCCCACACAGAGCAGAGAAGACCGGCATTTGTAAGGTCTTATCCAAAGCTCCACACACAATAAAGTGCCTGGAATTCTACTTATTTATTGTGGATCCAGGGCTGCTGAGATTTGAACCAGTGGTTCCAGGGAGACTAGCCATCTTAAACACGATGGTTAAATTGCTAAAACATCCCCGCCTAGATCTTCATCTCCTAAGAGTATAAAAGATTCCTGCGGATGACTGCTCATCCGTTCACCCAGCCAGCTGAGAGAGGACGACTTTTATTAGAGCACATTCCTCACAGTCACCAGTACGGCTGTGCTACTTTCCCATGGGCTCAGTAAAAAGAAACTTTTAAAAGAAGGAAAATCCTGGAAAGTGAGAAGCTACCGCTTGCCCAAATGGGATGGGGTGTGACAATCAGTCCTGTTACCTGCCTGGATCCCAGACTTCCACTCTGTACAGACCCCCTCCCACTGCAAAGGCTGCTAGTGTTGGCTTCTCTTTGGGATTTACCAACAGGAGAAAATGCAAAATGACACCTCAGTCAGAGCCTAGGGCTAAAACTGGCTGGGATTTCTTAGGGTGCTGAGATGGTGATTAAGGCCCATTGGGTCCTGATGGATCCATTTTCAAATCACGATGGGATGTTTTTCTAACAGATCTGCTCCAGGAATTCTTGGGGGCAGCTCTCTGGCCCGTGCTACACAGGGGTCAGACGTGATGATCAGAATGGTCCTTTCTGGCCTTGCATCTGTGATCTCTCAGGGCACCCACCTGGATACAGATTCCCCAGGGCCCAATATTCCCTGCCCCACCTCAGGAGCAAACTCCCTCAATCCCTGCCCAGAGACCCTATGTCCAACCCTACCCCCCAGGACTCCGACCCCAACTTCAGACCTCCCCCCAGCCCCACGCCCCAGGACCCTGACCCCATCCTCAGACCTCTCCAGCCCTTCCCCCCAGGACCCCGATCCCAACTTCAGACCTCCCCCCAGCCCTTCCCCCAGGACCCAACCCCATCCCCAGCCCTTTTCCCCAGGACCCTGACCCCATCCTCAGACCCCCCCAGCCATTCCCCCCAGGACCCCGACCCCATCCTCAGACCCCCCCAACTGCACCCCCCAGGACCCGACCCCATCCTCAGACCCCCCCAGCCCATCCCCCAGGACCCCGACCCCATCCTCAGACCCCCCCAGCCCACCCCCCCAGGACCCGACCCCATCCTCAGACCCCCCCAGCCCATCCCCCAGGACCCCGACCCCATCCTCAGACCCCCCCAGCCCACCCCCCAGGACCCGACCCCATCCTCAGACCCCCCAGCCCTTCCCCCCAGGACCCGACCCCATCCTCAGACCCCCCCAGCCCTTCCCCCCAGGACCCTGACCCCATCCTCAGACCCCCCAGCCCACCCCCCAGGACCCGACCCCATCCTCAGACCCCCCAGCCCTTCCCCCCAGGACCCGACCCCATCCTCAGACCCCCCCAGCCCATCCCCCCAGGACCCCGACCCCATCCTCAGACCCCCCCAGCCCACCCCCCAGGACCCGACCCCATTCTCAGACCCCCCAGCCCTTCCCCCCAGGACCCCGACCCCATCCTCAGACTCCCCCAGCCCATCCCCCCAGGACCCCGACCCCATCCTCAGACCCCCCCAGCCCATCCTCCAGGACCCCGACCCCATCCTCAGACCCCCCCAGCCCTTCCCCCCAGGACCCCGACCCCATCCTCAGACCCCCCCAGCTCCACCCCCCAGGACCCCGACCCCATCCTCAGACCCCCCAGCCCTTCCCCCAGGACCCGACCCCATCCTCAGACCCCCCCAACCGCACCCCCCAGGACCCCGACCCCATCCTCAGACCCCCCCAGCCCATCCCCCAGGACCCCGACCCCATCCTCAGACCCCCCCAACCGCACCACCCAGGACCCCGACCCCATCCTCAGACCCCCCCCAGCTCCACCCCCCCAGGACCCCGACCCCATCCTCAGACCCCCCCAGCTCCACCCCCCAGGACCCAACCCCATCCTCAGACCCCCCAGCCCTTCCCCCCAGGACCCCGACCCCAACCTCAGACCCCCCAGCCCATCCCCCCAGGACCCGACCCCATCCTCAGACCCCCCCAGCCCATCCCCCCAGGACCCGACCCCATCCTCAGACCCCCCAGCCCATCCCCCCAGGACCCCAACCCCATCCTCAGACCCCCCCAGCTCCACCCCCCAGGACCCTGACCCCATCCTCAGACCCCCCCCAAACGCACCCCCCCAGGACCCCGACCCCATCCTCAGACCCCCCCAGCTCCACCCCCCAGGACCCCAACCCCATCCTCAGACCCCCCCAGCCCATCCCCCCAGGACCCCGACCCCATCCTCAGACCCCCCCAGCCCATCCCCCAGGACCCCGACCCCATCCTCAGACCCCCCAAGCTCCACCCCCCAGGACCCCGACCCCATCCTCAGACCCCCCAGCCCATCCCCCCAGGACCCCGACCCCATCCTCAGACCCCCCCAGCTCCACCCCCCAGGACCCCGACCCCATCCTCAGACCCCCCCAGCCCATCCCCCAGGACCCCGACCCCATCCTCAGACCCCCCCAACCGCACCCCCCCAGGACCCCGACCCCATCCTCAGACCCCCCCCAGCTCCACCCCCCAGGACCCCAACCCCATCCTCAGACCCCCCCAGCCCATCCCCCCAGGACCCGACCCCATCCTCAGACCCCCCCAGCCCATCCCCCCAGGACCCCGACCCCATCCTCAGACCCCCCCAGCTCCACCCCCCAGGACCCCGACCCCAACCTCAGACCCCCCAGCCCCACCCCCCAGGACCCGACCCCATCCTCAGACCCCCTCAGCCATTCCCCCCAGGACCCGACCCCATCCTCAGACCCCCCCAGCCCATCCCCCCAGGACCCCGACACCATCCTCAGACCCCCCAGCCCTTCCCCCCAGGACCCCGACCCCATCCTCAGACCCCCCAGCCCCACCCCCCAGGACCCTGACCCCATCCTCAGACCCCCCCAGCTCCACCCCCCAGGACCCTGACCCCATCCTCAGACCCCCCCAAACACACCCCCCAGGACCCCGACCCCATCCTCAGACCCCCCCCAGCTCCACCCCCCAGGACCCGACCCCATCCTCAGACCCCCCAGCCCTTCCCCCAGGACCCGACCCCATCCTCAGACCCCCCCAACCGCACCCCCCAGGACCCCGACCCCATCCTCAGACCCCCCCAGCCCATCCCCCAGGACCCCGACCCCATCCTCAGACCCCCCCAACCGCACCCCCCAGGACCCTGACCCCATCCTCAGACCCCCCCAGCTCCACCCCCCAGGACCCCGACCCCATCCTCAGACCCCCCCAGCTCCACCCCCCAGGACCCAACCCCATCCTCAGACCCCCCAGCCCTTCCCCCCAGGACCCCGACCCCAACTTCAGACCCCCCAGCCCATCCCCCCAGGACCCGACCCCATCCTCAGACCCCCCCAGCCCATCCCCCCAGGACCCGACCCCATCCTCAGACCCCCCCAGCCCATCCCCCCAGGACCCCAACCCCATCCTCAGACCCCCCCAGCTCCACCCCCCAGGACCCTGACCCCATCCTCAGACCCCCCCCAAACGCACCCCCCAGGACCCCGACCCCATCCTCAGACCCCCCCAGCTCCACCCCCCAGGACCCCAACCCCATCCTCAGACCCCCCCAGCCCATCCCCCCAGGACCCGACCCCATCCTCAGACCCCCCCAGCCCATCCCCCAGGACCCCGACCCCATCCTCAGACCCCCCCAAGCTCCACCCCCCAGGACCCCGACCCCATCCTCAGACCCCCCCAGCCCATCCCCCCAGGACCCCGACCCCATCCTCAGACCCCCCAGCTCCACCCCCCCAGGACCCTGACCCCATCCTCAGACCCCCCCAGCCCATCCCCCAGGACCCCGACCCCATCCTCAGACCCCCCAGCTCCACCCCCCAGGACCCCGACCCCATCCTCAGACCCCCCCAGCCCATCCCCCAGGACCCCGACCCCATCCTCAGACCCCCCAGCCCATCCCCCAGGACCCCGACCCCATCCTCAGACCCCCCCAACCGCACCCCCCAGGACCCCGACCCCATCCTCAGACCCCCCCAGCTCCACCCCCCCAGGACCCCAACCCCATCCTCAGACCCCCCCAGCCCATCCCCCCCAGGACCCGACCCCATCCTCAGACCCCCCAGCCCATCCCCCCAGGACCCGACCCCATCCTCAGACCCCCCCAGCCCATCCCCCCAGGACCCCGACCCCATCCTCAGACCCCCCCAGCTCCACCCCCCAGGACCCCGACCCCAACCTCAGACCCCCCCAGCCCCACCCCCCAGGACCCCGACCCCATCCTCAGACCCCCCCCAGCTCCACCCCCCAGGACCCCGACCCCATCCTCAGACCCCCCCACACCTGGGCCGGTGCTACCCGCGGCAGCGGAGCCGAGGCTGGTGTCACAACGAACCGGGTCCGACCAGAGACACTTCCGGTCTCCGCCACCACGAAGCGGAAGTGCCCGGACTGTGAGCGGGACGGAACGCGGCGCCCGCCCGCTTCGGAGCATGGGCCGGGGGCGGGGCACGGCGGGGGGGACTGTCCCGGGGCCGGGGCAGTTCCGGGGCGGGGGCGGGGCGGGGCAGTCCCGGGGCGGGAGGGGGGGGCAGTCCCGGGGGCGGGGGGGGCAGTCCCGGGGGCGGGGGGGGCAGTCCCGGGGGCGGGGCACGGCGGGGGGGGCAGTCCCGGGGGCGGGGCACAGCGGCGGGGGGGGCAGTCCCGGGGCGGGGCACGGCGGGGGGGCAGTCCCGGGGCGGGAGGGGCAGTCCCGGGGGCGGAGCACGGCGGGGGGGGGCTGTCCCGGGGCGGGGCACGGCGGGGGGGGGCTGTCCCGGGGCGGGAGGGGGCAGTCCCGGGGCGGGGGGGGGGCGGGGGGGGCAGTCCCGGGGGCGGGGCACGGCGGGGGCGGCAGTCCTGGGGCGGGAGGGGCACGGCGGGGGGGGGGCAGTCCCGGGGGCGGGGCACGGCGGGGGGGGCAGTCCCGGGGCGGGAGGGGGCAGTCCCGGGGGCGGGGCACGGCGGGGGGGGGCAGTCCCGGGGGTGGGGCACGGCGGGGGGGCAGTCCCGGGGCGGGGCCGGCGGGGGGGGGCGAGTCCCGGGGGCGGAGCACGGCGGGGGGGGCAGTCCCGGGGCGGGAGGGGGCAGTCCCGGGGGCGGGGCACGGCGGGGGGGCAGTCCCGGGGGCGGAGCACGGCGGGGGGGGCAGTCCCGGGGCGGGAGGGGCAGTCCCGGGGGCGGGGCACGGCGGGGGGGCAGTCCCGGGGGCGGGGCACGGCGGGGGGGGCAGTCCCGGGGGCGGGGCACGGCGGGGGGGGCTGTCCCGGGGGCGGGGCACGGCGGGGGGGGCAGTCCCGGGGCGGGGGGGCAGTCCCGGGGGCGGGGCACGGCGGGGGGGGCAGTCCCGGGGCGGGGGGGGCTGTCCCGGGGGCGGGGCACGGCGGGGGGGGCAGTCCCGGGGCGGGAGGGGCTGTCCCGGGGGCGGGGCACGGCGGGGGGGGCAGTCCCGGGGGCGGGGCGGGCCGGTCCTGGGGCTGCTGTTGGGGTCACGTTCCCGCCGGGACGGGCTCGACGTTGCGGGGACTCGAGAGCCGGGTCCTGCGAGCTCGGGGCCCGGCCTCAGGCAGGGGCCGGCCCCGCTGCGCCACGGGAGCCCCCCGAGCAGCCGGGCCCCCCACCCCCGCCGCCCTGCAGGAGCCGGGGGGCGCTGGGGTCGCC